ACTACTACTACTACTACTACTACTACTACTACTACTACTACTACTACTAGCTTCTTGGGCATTTGTTTTCTTTGTTGAACCCGTGCCTTCCAATCCTCTCTCACAGCTTCTGGGCATGGCTCCGTCTCAGGTGGTTCCTGCATGATCTTGGCCATTGCTGCCTGCAAATGTGAGCGGTTGACGTATGAAAGATCACAAAAGAGAGAAACAGTGACCCAAAGCACCTTGCCATGTAGAACAAAGTCGATGAACTCATTCAACTCAAGAACCCCATTCTGATTCCTGACTTGGGACAGGCAAGTGGGCAAAGAGGCACCCAACGTGAGAATGTCATGCGGAGACGAATAAAGGCTAGATACAAGAATGGAAACATGGAAAAGAGAAAGGCCTAAAGGTGTGAAGAAGATACAAAAAGGAACAAGAAAAGGAACAAGAAAAGGAAGGGTAGAACGGGTAAAACAAAAATAAGAAAGAATCCGTCCCGTTTAGTGGGTAGCTACCATGACAACAGGCCGCTACTGCTGGATGTGCAAAAACCGACGAGTTTCACATCAGCTGCGCAAAAGAGTTTCTGCAGCTGGATTTCAGACATGCTTGGTGCAATACCCTGCATCATCTTTTGCATCTCATTGAAAGAAAGCGTACCATCATTGTTGAGGTCCAACTCCTGTGAAAAGTCCAGTTTCCGGAAGTTCGGCAAAGAGATGGAACGCAAACAGCTTGGTGAGTGTTGTTTCTCGACACTAACTGCGTGGTTAACACGGGGAAAGAAACTTTCTCCACACTCCACACCTATGATTTGAGCTGGTAATGAAGCAGGGGAATGAAAAACCTGCTTTGTTCGACGGTCCTTGAACTGTTTCTTTATATTGTCGACCTGCTCATCACTAGGCAACATCTCCCTGGCAGCTTTGACACTCGCCACTGTTGGCCGCTCATGAATGCTTCCGTAAACGTCCACCAATGGTAGCCCAAACTTGCCACCTTCCAGCTGACACAGTCTGACACAACGACCAAGCAATCAAGTACATGGCATTCGTGCTTGCAGAAAGGGGTAGTAACGTCTAACCAGGAATGTTCTTTTTGTGTGTTCTCTCTTTGGAAACTTGCCTTTGAACCACTCAGTGCTCCTCAGCTTTCGGGCCATTTCCGCTTTGTTGGCAGGCACATCGATGTTGGCATCGCGATACTTCAAACCTTCTTCGCAACAAAGCTCTTTGAAGTCTCTGCAAAAACCACAGCTTTCGCGTCCGTATACTACTAGCTCAGCCATGGACTCATTTTGAGCCGCTATGCTGCGGTTTTGCGATCATTTCGGATCTGATCGACGGGTTCACCCATCAAGCTGACCAACAAAGGGGGTGTGTCAATCCAACAGGTTCCTGAACAGAAATAGAAGATGGTCTGAATGCTTGACCCAAGAAGTTTTGGGAATGAATAATGTTTTTTTATTCCAAATTGTCTCACCTGTTTGCCACTGTTTTTCACTGTCTCCATTTGACTACCACATGGTCCCGTCTGCATGATAAAGAGCAACATTTGCTTGTCGCTTGTCTGCGCTCGGAGATGAAAGAAGGTACACGAGACGATGTGTTGCTACAAAAGTGCCCAGATCGGGGCAAGGTTTGATCTATTTGAATCTATTTGTGCAAGGAAGGGAAGTGCAATAGCAGAAAAAGTGTCTCGCAGCAAAGTGGAGGAGACACCCGGAACTGTAGACGAAGTAAAGGCAGTGCAGATTAAACAAGTCAAAGACAGTCACAAATGAACAACGGCACAAGAAACCCAAAGCGAAGGCAGGGTCCAAAGGCCAAAAGCACTACTGGCCAACAAACGACAGACGGATCAGCTGGTGTCACGGTGAGTGGCTCACTGGGCAAGAAATTGTCATCGTCTCTGTGTCGTCAAACAGCGACACGTTTACTGTTCAATTACATACCAAAACCGACGTCATGGCCTTTCTCCATATATGTTTTTCGCTTTGATGCTGCCATTGGATGTGGTGTTCTCATCCGCCTGCACATAGTGAGTGTGACAGACAAAAGTGAAACGTCTGAGCTTGACGAGGTCAGCACGATAAAGAACACAAAACAAAAATCCGCCCACACCGAAGGCGCCGAGGCGTTTTTTTAGTACGTAAGCTAGCATATGCAAGCCAATAGCTTTAGCTAGGGGGGGGGCCTTTTTCGCTCTAGAATCCTGTGTTTTTTCACGTTTTTGGAACCGGCTTAAAGTGCTGGAAGATGAATTCGTGCTATTTTGAAGCCCCTGGTGATGCAAGAAATGCAATTTGCTTCCTTTGCATGATTTGAATCATCTGAGCGGTAAAGTGTAATTGGACTGAGGCCGGACATTTGGCTGAACAGGCTCCCCTAACGTGGCTCAACATAGCTTCCATATTGCCTAACATAGCCCTAGAAGTCACTATCTAACGGACGTGTCTGCGAGATAGGGACTTGAACGCAAAACATGGCCCAACGAG